CCCATTACATGGTGCTCTAGAGATTAGAGGAGTTGGAAAGGAAAGACAGGTGGAATACTCAGAGAGACTAATTCCAGCCATTTTTGGAGAATAGGTACCCACAACTGGCTGCTCTGGGACAAAAGAAAGGCAGGAGACTTTGGGAGACTGCCCAACAGCGAGAGGGCAGCTAAAGGGGCAAGAATTACACAGAGCTTGCTGCTCAGGAGAAAGGTGGGAAAAATCATCCCAGTGTACTAAGCCCAGCAGTTTGGGAATTTTCAGGAGCTTCAGGCACTCCATCCCCCTGACTGGCAGCACAGTGCTGAGGCCCCACACTGCAATAAGCAACCTGTCACTTCTTTCTCCCAGACAGCACCAGTTAGCAAATTTACAGCCCCGCCATCACACCAGGCCACCTGGAGGGCAGCTCTGCCTACAGCAGCTACAAGGGCTTAATGCAGAGGCTGCTCCCTGCATAATCTGCCCTCTGGTAATAGCAGTGGAGGCGGGCACTGCAGCTGGGAAGCAGGAAAAAACTGTTTGCTCCTAGCAGGCACTGCCACTGATCACTCCACCACCATCACTCCATGTTCTGGGCAGCTCCAGGGAGCAGAGCTTCAGGACACTACAGGGCACCACCTATACAAGGTTATTATTACATATTACTTATTAGAAATATTATATGAAAAAGAACCTTGTGCAAACCAAAATTACTCAAACACCAGAAAGATGGCTCAGTGAAACTGAAATCACCAATCTTCTTGATAAAGATTTAAAGATAAACATCATAAACATGACCACAGAGCTACAGAAAAATATTCAAGATCTCAAAGATGACATCAAGAAAGAGAAATTTTGAAAAATACAGTATCTGACATGAAATATACAATGAAGGTGTTTAAAAGCAGATCAGAAGAGGTAGAGGAGATGTAAATAGAATAGAAATTAGCAACTGAGGCTAAAAAAGGAAAACCCATCAGGTTATCATCACACTTCTCAGCAGAAACCACAGAGGCTAGAAGGGAGTGGCATGATACATTGAATGCAATGAAACAGAAAGGTCTCGAACCAAGAATACTCTACTTGGAAAGATTATCATTTAAATTAGAAGAAGGGATGTAACAATTTCCAGATAAGAAAACTTGAGGGAATTTACCTCCCACAAACAGTCTACAGTGTATTTCAAAGGGAGTGCTATACGTAGAAGTGTGCCTGAGGCTAATTAGCTGTCACCAGAGAAAATAAAACCACAGTAAAGGAAGCAGATGAATTAATTACTAAGCAAATGCAAAATTAAATGACACCTAACATATAAAGAGTAGAGTAGGAAGACAAAGAAGTGAGAAAAGAGCAGGAGTTGCAGTACTTGTATCAGACAAAATAGACTTCAAAGCAAAGAAAGTAATGAGACAGAGAAGGGCATTCCATAATGATAAAGGGCTCAGTCCAACAAGAAGATATAATCATTATAAATATCTATGCACCCAGTATAGGAGCACTTACATATGTGAAAAAATACTAACATAATAAAAGGGGGAAATAGAATGAAATGCATTCATTTTAGGAGACCTCAACACACCAGTCATTCCAAAAGACATATCAACCAACAGAAAATAAGTAAGGAGACACAGGCACTAAACAACACATTAGAACAGATGGACCTAACAGACATCTACAGAACACTCCACCCAAAAGCAGCAAGATACACATTCTTCTCAAGTACACATTTTCCAGAGTAGATCATATACTAGGCCATAAAAAGAGCCTCAGTAAATTCAGAAGGATTGCAATTGTGCCAGCCATCTTCTCAGACCACAAAGGTATGAAACTAGAAATAAATTACACAAAGAAAATGAAAAAGCCCACAGACACATGGAGGCTTAATAACATGCTCCTAAATAATCAATGGATCAATGACCAAATAAAAACAGAGATCAAGCAATATATGGAGACAAAAGATGCTCCACATTGCTAATTATCAGAGAAATGCAAATTTAAACCACAATGAGATATCACCTCACACCAGTAAGGATGACCAACATCCAAAAGAAAGGGAACAACAAATGTTGGCAAGAATGTGGAGAAAGGGGAACCCTCCTCCACTGTTGGTGGGAATGTAAATTAGTTCAACCATTGTGGAAAGCAGTATAGAGGTTCCTCAAAAAACCCAACATAGAAATACCATTTGACCCAGGAATTCCACTCCTAGGAATTTTCCCTAAGAATGCAGGAGACCAGTTTGAAAAAGACAGATGCACCCTTATGTTTATCGCAGCACTATTTACAATAGCCAAGAAATAGAAGCAACCTAAGTGTCCATCAGTAGATGAATAGATAAAGAAGATGTGGTACATACATACAATGCAATATTATTCATCCATAAGAAGAAAACAGATCTTACCATTTGCAGCAACATGGATGGAGCCGAGGGGTATTATGCTCAATGAAATGAGCCAGGCAGAGGACAAGTACCAAATAATTTCCCTCATTTGTGGAGTATAACACCAAAGCAAAAATGAAGGAGCAAAAAAGGAGCAGACTCACAGACTCCAAGAAGGGACTGGTGTTTACCAAAGGGGATGCATGGGGGGCAGGGAAGTAGGAGGGAATTAAGGATATTATGATTAGCACACATAATGTAGGGGAGCATGGGGAAGGCAGTATAGTACCGAGGAGATAAGTAGTGACTCTATAGCATCTTACTTTGCTGATGGCCACTGACGGCAGTGGTGTGTGTAGGGGGACTTGATAATATGGATGAGTGTAGTAACCATGTTGCTCATGTGAAACCTTCATAAGATTATATATCAATGATACCTTAATAAAAATAACTTAGTCATATACAAATTATTATTAATAATAAGTTATCTCTCCCCCCCACCACCACACAACTAATCTTTTTCATCATTATGCTCTGACACCATTGTGGATCATTTGAACTCAAGTAGAGTTGTTACTGCATCCAAACCCTTAGTCTGAGTGTACTCAATGTTTTCCATTGGTTTCAGATATTTGCTGGCTAGGAATTTATGACCACTGGGTATTTACTTTCCTCAGACAGTAGTTTTCACTTTCGTCTTTTTACTACCAGTACTGTTTCACAGGCCTTGACAAGATTTTCTCTGTATTAAGGCTGTCCTCAGTGAGTTTGGGAAAAATATTCTCAAGCCAGAAAGCGGAAAACACTGCTGACCCAGGTCTCAGACTTTGCCATCACCTTTGTGTACTCATAACTCACTTCCCACCCAAGCAAATACATATACAAATAGAAGTCCATGCCTCCGTGTGATTAATGGCTCTACCCTGACAATCTTCTCCACTCTGTATCTTTATTGCTACTCTAGCCAGTACTGGCAAAAACTGTATACCTTATAGAAGGATTTATTGAACACAGGCTGATAATTAGGTTTTAGCATCTGGGATCTAACTGTGGACTCCCTTATTTCCTTTGAACTCTTCTTCCTAAAGACCTAGATGCCAGCAGCTTATCAGGAACTCCCTTAGGAATCTCTAGCCTGTTATTCCCTCCATCCTTGCTGGGCGTTATCTCAGTGAGGTTCCTTGGTTTCTCCAGAATGCTAAAAATTTACTATCTTGGGATGAAGAAATTTCAGATTTAAGCAAGAACAAATTTATTCTGCTTTTTCTACCTGGGACCCTGGGAACCTGCAGCCATTTCACTAGTCCAAGAAAATAGCTGTGTGCCTCCAAAACTCATTTTTTGTTATGCTGAAAATCCTGATGTCATAAAATAATCATGAGCCATGGCTACTCATGAATGGTTCCTTTAAGCAGCTAGAGTCTTAAATTTTATCCATTTGTCCAGGCCTTGGATTTTTGCCCTTTAAACCTGTCTTTTGCATATATTCAATGCAGTGTGTCCAAACAGCTATAAGCAACTTCTTCCTTAACTTGCCTCTCTATTTAGTTAATAATAATATCACTATGTCCTAGATTACCCATGCCAGAATGCTAGTGGTCATACCTGACTCATCCTTCTCTAACCCTCACCAAAACCCATTCACTCTGCTCTTAAATGTCTGGAACAGAAACCCACTATCTTCCATCTTAATTGCTACCACTCTACTCTAGGCAACCTTCTTCTTTCTCCTGGATTACTGCAACAACCTTCTTCTAACTGGTGTCATTGCCTTCAGTCTCTTTTATTCTCTAGACCAGATATTTTTCAAAAGTGCAAACTGATCATTTTATTCCCCTTCTTAAAATTCTTCGATAATTTTATCATTGTCCTTAGGAGAAAGTCTAAACTTACAACATGTCTTATAAGGTCTCTTAATAACCTGCCTCATCATTGTTCCACTTTTTGACATCACAGTCTCTGCCTTGGCCAACTACTCTTTCAGTTTCTTGTGCTACCATATTCATCCTCACTTTCAAATTTCTCTACATATAATGCATTGACTTTGAACCCATTCTTCTCTGTTTTGACTAGGTAATTCCTATTCATTCATTCTTTATAATGCAGCTTAATTATTACTGCTTTGGAGAAAATTTCCCTGAATCCCTAAACTAGATTAGTTGTCCTTGCTGTGTGCTCCTATAGCACTCTTTATTTTTCATATGATAGGGCTTAGTACATTTTAATTACTTATTAACTCTCTAGACTTCAGGCTCTGTGAGGGAAGAAATCCTGCTATTTGCTTGCTGTTGTGAGCTATTCAAAGATGGAATGAACTTCCTGAGGAGCTTATGTTTCCCATCACCAGTAGTGTTCATTTGTAGATTGAAAAGCTCCAAGTTGGGACCGAGATAGAGCACCATTGGGAAGCCTTTAAGGCCTTTCCAATCAGGAGATGGTTTTTTCCAAATGGCCAAACATACATGTATAGCTGTTTTCAAAGACTCTATAAGTCAATATAAAAGAATTTCACCTAACCGAAAATAATTGACTATTCAGTGATTAATAATGGCAGATAGAGAATCTAAGAGCTATTTCTAATTTAGAACATTGCATCTGGAGTTTTTGAAATTAATGTTATATTTTGTATCTCTTATAGGTGAAATGAATCAGAAATACCAGGAGCTAAAAAAAAGGGAGGAGAATATGAACAGTAAGTGATAATCTTACAGATATGAAAATATTCTTAGCTCTCATTTATACCAAAACAGAGATCTTATTTTTGGAAGATACAATGGCTAATGATAAATACGAAAGTGTGGATATTGAAAACATATGCCATAAAGAATTACTAAATATCTAGCATAGTTTAGGGATGGGTAGAGAAATGTAAAAAGGTTTTGTACATGTGTATGTGTGTATATGAGTATGTATTAGGGATATATTCTAAAGCTAGGACTTAGATTTATAATCTGAATAGCCTACAGACTATTTATTGGTTGAATGTTGAATGTTCTCTTTTACATGCTTCACTATGTTTACCTTTAATATCTTTCATGTTTTTGTTTTAGCTTTTCATAATACTTATTATGTGCCCTTACCTCAGATCTTGTTACTTGGTTCATCACTAACCAACTAAATTAGTAGCCTTCTGTTGCAGCTTCACACTCACTTTCTAAAAAAATCTTAACTTTGTAAATACATGTTCATTTAAACTTATATATTCAGAAAATTTTCAAAATTGACATAATATACAATAGTATATTATCTATTACTGGCTTCCTTTCTAAAGTATCATTTTGCTAGACTCTGAAGTTTCATAGGTCTGATGTCAGTTTTACCTTCATAGTAACAGGTAACTTCTATTACTGCATACTGCATATTAGAAAGCAGTAATTGCAATATCCCATGATCTCTTTTTTTTTGCCTTGACTTCTCAAACTCAATGTGGCTAAAGTGGATCTTTTCTTCCTTTCCTCTCCATACTGTTCTTGTTGGGTTTTTCTCTGTTGTAATGAGTGTCCCATGTTCCCCAGTCACTACCTAGGAGTTATCTGTTGGGTACTGTAGTCTGAAACCAAAGGCTTTATGGTTGTAATATTGCTGTGACCAGGCCCTCTACCTTCAGTTTGGGCAATGTGTAGTTTTATGCAGACTGGCTTTGGCTTTCTTAGTGTCACACACCCATGAGATTTCTTTAAAATTTCAGCAAGTACCAAAAATTATCTTACGATTAATTTGTAGTTTCATGCTAATAGTAAAGTTATTTTTAACTGTATTTATTTTTGGAAGATATATAAAAATACTTTAAGAATGTAAATAAGCCAATTGTGTGCTGGTTCTATATTAGATAAGAAAAAGGATGAGTTCTTAGAATATTTATAATCTGTTATTACTAAGCTTATTTTAGTTAAGATTACTAAGTTTGACAAGTAAAATGCTCATTTTCAGATAAAGTACGTACCTAGTAATACTGTTTTCAGAAATAAAGCTAGTGGCTAATTATAGATGTTAATAATTGTAGATGGTGTCAAGGAGATCCAATATAAAAACAGATTTTTTTCTGATCCCTGTTTTATCAGCTGTTATTTCTGAGGTGGTATGTAAACATTTTTAGTTCATTTATATCGTTAGGCTTTCAAAGTTTGAAAGTATGTAGAAATGTTCTTATTGAGTAATTTAATTACCCTTGGGTTAATAAAAATTTGAAAGAGTAATACTTTATTTTGCTTGAATTTCTAAAAAAGTACTCAACACCTATAAATCAGGGTTTATAAAGTGTTAACTGTATCAACAGTAGCCTCTCATCATATTTTTCAAACTTCAGCTTTTATTGAGACTTTTGAGGAAACTAAGAAACAGGAACTGGAACGGAAGACACAGATCGAGGCCAGCATCATTGCACTTTTGGAGCACTGTAGTCGAGTAAGTACCATGTGCTGGTCTCACTGCTTTTACTGTGACAGCCTGTCCAAATACAACTTAGAAATTCAGTGGCTCACTATCAGTGTTCATTTAAACCATTTCCTTTAAATTCTCTTGTTTGTTTTTTTATTTCTCCAAGTTGTTATTTTTTAATCTTCCTAGCAAAGTTCAGCTAATTAGGATGATAGGGAAAAAGGATGACATACATATCATATCAATATTCAGCAGTAAGTGAGGGACTAATTCAGAGTAATTAATATTTTCTTCCATCATTCATCTACCAGAACTTGTACAAGTGGTAACATTTACACAGATAATGTCAAAATCTAGATATTATATTAGAAAATGTTAATATATTTTTATATACTGTAATTTATATTATAAACAGAAGAATCTACAAGAGTACAAGATACCTCATAAGTGTCTTGATTCATCAAAAAATGCTTATTGAATAGGTACTAATGTACTACTTATGTGTGGTGCCATAGGAGGAAAATGCATGGTCTCTTTTCAGTATTCTAAGTTTTTTAAGACTCTAGTCAGTTCCTAAAATAGTATAGCTGAATTTTTTCTACAGTGAAATAAAGCAAATATAAAAGAAACAGTTCTGAATTTTAATTTAGCTTCTCTCGTTATTGAGAAAACCTGACTTTGGATTGGATATTTTTTAAAACATATATAATGAATGATGTACTGCAAAAAAGAATACCCATTCAAAACACTCAGTCCTGTAGCAGTGTTTCCCAAGAATTTTATTGGAGGATTAAATCATGGAGTTTTTTCCATTTTTGTTTCTCTACAAATACAGAATATAAATCGGATGAAACAGGTATCCTCTATCACCAATCAAGAACTGAAGATGATGCAGGATGATCTCAATTTTAAATCTACCGAAATGCAGAAATCACAAAGTACAGCTAGGAATTTGACTTCAGGTGAGAAAACAATCTAGATTTTAGTATCTGTTTTTTTTCTGTAATAAATTAGAACTTTTAAAGTCTAATGTTATTCTCTCTGCTTTTTTTTTTTTGGAAGACTGAGGATATAATATATGATTGCCTATTGCTCCAGTCATTTATAGTCTCAGAATTTTATGTGACTTTCACATCGACTTAATAGTGTTTCACTGGAATAATGTCGTTCATTTACTGTATATTGAAAACTTGTTCTCTACCTGCACTATAACTTGGTTATACAGAGACAAAAAATATATATACTCTTTTTCCCCAAGGAACTTTCAACCTGGTGAAATGACAAACAATTAACATATAGTGAAGCAGTGCTATGATAGAAACATAGGAACAATGGAAGTACATAGGGCTTGTATTCACCCCAGTTATAGTTAGGAGAGGTATCCTAGAAGAGGTAATGTTTTTAATTATAATTAGTTTCAGCCACTATGACTAACAGACTAGAGCAGCAATGTCCAGTAGAAATGTAATGCCAGCCACCATACATAATTTAAAATTTCCTAGTAGCCACATTAAAAAAGTAAAAAGAGGAAGGTGAATTTTAGTGATATATTTTTTTAGCCCAGTGTGTCCAAAATAGTATCAGTTCAACATGTAATCAGTATAAAAATGATCAATGAGTTTTTGCAGTTATAACCCATCTCATTTCATCTAGATACATTGGAGTACTCAAAAGCCATCTGTGTATAGTGCTACTATTTGGATAGTGAAGGTAGAGATTAGAAACAAATTGAGCTTAAAGAATTTAGGATAAAGTCATGTAAAAATTTGTATGGAATTTTTAGTTGTTGATTCTGTGTGTGTTCTTTATGCTGGTGTGTGGTGACATTGAATTAGATGTTTTTACTTGTCTACTTGGAATTAACCCTGGCAGTTAGTGAGATCATGGAGAATAAAGACTTAATTATTATTTGCTAGTTTAAAAATATTGAAAGGTGTTTGAAATGTAGTAGTGGATCCATAATATCCATTTATCTGTAATCTCAAAATCTAAAAAGCTCTTGGCAGCAAAGCCTAACCTGAACTGATGTGAGGCTATTAGTGATCACTACTGTGACTGTTCATAGCTTTTGCTGCAGGAATATTCATGTGCTTGATGACAGGCTGCTACCTCAGCTCCTGCTGTGGGAGCTATATAAAAATCATTATATACAGTATATTACTTTTCTAAAATCTGAAGAATTCTACATTCTGAAACACAAGTGCCTAGTACTTTTATATAAGGGATTAGGATAAATGCATACTGAAGGCTGTTAATATACAGTTGAATTTATATTGATAATATAGGTGGACAATTGTTGCTTTTAATATTATATTTTATCTGCCAGGATTTGTTTAGAGTTTGTTTGCCATAGTTTCATTTATAAATTTGAATTATATGCCAAGCAACCAGAGGAGGTACATTCTAGATTTAATTTACACCTACTGTTAGCTTGACTATAAGTATTTTTTGAATGTGATAAAAACACACAAAAGAATTTTACCATCTTAACCATTTTTAAATGTGCATATAAATATTAGTGTTAATTATATGCACATTTTTGTGCAATAGATCTCTGGAACTGTTTCATCTTGCACTTACCAGTGGAATAACTGCCCATTCACTCACTCCCCTGCTCTTCATAATCTACTTTCTGTTTCTTGAGTTCGATTACTTTAGATACCTTATATAAGTGGAAACACGAAGTATTTGTCATTTTATGAGTGGTTTATTTCATTTATTATAGTGTCCTTGAGGTTCATATATATTATGTGAAAGAATTTCCTTTTTTAAGGCTGCATAATATTCTATATGTACAGGATATACAGTTGGCCTTTAAACAACATGGGTTTGAATTTTGCAGTTCCATTTATACTGGATTTTTTTCAAATATTGGAATATATTGGAAAACTGTGACAATTTCTATTTTATTTGAAGAACACAGTGTATAACATATATAACATTCAAAATATGTGTTAATCAACTGTTTATATTATAAGTAAGGCTTCCAATCAGCAGTAGGATATTAGTTTTTTGGGACACTCAAAAGTTATATGCAAATTTCTAACTGCATGGTGGTTCAGTGCCCCAACCCCTGTGTTGTTCAAGGGTCATAGTACATACTATGTTTTCTTCATTCATTCATTGTTGATGAACGTTTAGGTTGTTTCCACCCCTCAGCTGTTGTGAATCATGATGCAATGAACACATCTCTTCAAGATCACATATTTTCAAATATGGGTATTTTAATATCCTTATTTTTTCTATAAGCTAAAGAATTTTATGTGTAATTATTCACTAGGAAACCCATTTTGTTTTAGACCATAATCTTAAGTTTCTCATTTATGTGAAGCCAATTCAACAAGTTTTTGCCTCCTTTAAGCTATCTTTGTATAATGGCTGTTGAGAAACATACATTTTTTAAAACATAAATAGTAATACCAGTAAATTATCAGGACTTTGTATTCCTTTCATACTTTTTATACTGTGTTTACACTTCCTTTTAAAAACGAGTCATTATATTTTCTCCAATGATGTAGCATTGAAAAAGAATGGGAACTGGCTTCACTGGATGAAAATCTTATTTATTATTATGATAAGGATTTTACTGAAAATTCCTTTATTAAGGCTTAAATTCACCGACCTGCTACAATTAACTTCATTACTCAGTTATCTGTAAGTGTTAATTTAAACCAAGCATTTATATTATTTTTTTCTCTTTCGTTAACACCATCACCCACAAGAAATTTCTTGTATCTGGAAATCACCGTAAGAGGTTTATAATATTCTTCTCACTCTTCAGAGATAATGAATTTTAATTCCCCTTTTGTCAATTGCCTCCCTTTTGGCCCTTGAAGTTATCATTGGAACTCACCTGATTTTCTTAGTGTACTCTGTATTTCTTAAGGAAATATCATTCCCAAGGGGGCAAATTACTTCTAGTGGGGAGGATAAAAAAAACTGGATATTATAACAGTTTGTGTCCTCCAAATGGGTCACTGTACATAAACAGATGTACCTTACATCTGTACTATAAAAATTTCACAAGAGGAAGGTGATTGGGAAAAAAAATAGTTGATAAAAAGCTCCTTGGGGGACAATAATGAAATAAAAAGATTAAGAAACACTAGTATACTACATGAGTAAAGAGGCAAGAAGTCTGTCAGCATTAGTTTTTATTTTTATTTTTGGAAAGGAAACTCCAGGGAATAAACAAATGCGCTGATGGCAGAATATTTCAGAAACATTTCCCCGGGTCAGAGTGGTTCCTTTTGAGATTTTGCTTCTGTGTACACACTGCTTGGTAAACTTTGCAACTTAATAGCATATCAGAAGGAACTAGTCTGCATCCTCTTCCTGTCTCTTCCCTTGGAGAAGCTTTTAGCTTTTCATGGGGACCTGCTGTTAAAGGAAGATAAACTTTACCCTATACCAACCAACCATTTTCTCCCTTTCTCTAGGAAAAGCAGTTTGTATAACTCCTACATGTATTTCCCTAATATGTCTTCAAATTAAACTTCTTCTTAGATTTATGTATGTCTTTGCACCAGTCAAAATATACTGGCTAAGTACATTTCCTAGTAGAGCATTGAAACACTGTAAGCCTCAGTGACTTTGATTCATCACTTTGATTTTCATCTTAACTATTTCCAGCCCTGCTAGAGATATGAATCCAACAAAACAAAACCCCTCAACATTTGCCCACATATATATAAATGTATATTTAATAACATATATGTTTTAATAACATACATATTTTCTTTATTAAGGCATTATTGATGTACACACTTATGAAGGTTTCACATGAAAAAACAATGTGGTTACTACATTCACTTATATTATTGTGTCCCCACAATACCCCATTGCAGTCTCTGCCCATCAATGTAGTAAGATGCACAGAGTCACTATTTGCCTTCTCTGTGCTGCACTGTCTTCCCCATGATCTCCTCCACACCATGTGTGCCAATCATACAACCCCTTAATCACCTCCCTCCCTCCTCACCCACCCTTTAGTCACCCCTCCCCTTTGGTAACTGCTAGTCTCTTCATGGAGTCTGCGAGTCTGTTGCTGTTTTGTTCTTTCAGTTTTGCTTTGTTGTTACACTCTACAAATGAAGGAAATCATTTGGTATTTGTGTTTCTCCGCGTGACTTATTTCACTGAACATAATATCCTCCAGCTTCATCCATGTTGTTGCAAATGATAGGATTTGTTTCTTTCTTATGGCTCAACAGTATTCCATTGTGTCTATGTACCATATCTTCTTTAACCATTCATCAACTGATGGACACTTAGGATGCTTCCGTATCTTGGCTATTGTAAAAAGTGCTGCGATAAACATAGGGGTGCATATGTCTTTTTAAATCTGAGAATTTATATTCTTTGCATAAATTCCTAGGAGTGGAATTTCTGGGCCAAATGGTATTTCTATTTTAAGTTTTTTGAGGAACCTCCATACTGCTTTCCACAATGGTTGAACTGGCTTACATACCCACCAGCAGTGTGGAAGGGTTCCGCTTTTTCCACATCCTTGCTAACATTTGTTGTTCTTAGACTTTTTGATACTGGCCATCCTAACTGATGTGAGGTGATATCTCATTGTGGTTTATATTTCCATTTCCCTGATAATTAGTGCTGTGGCCATCTGAATTCTTCTTTGGAGAATTGTCTGATCATATTCTCTGCCCATTTTTTTAATATGGTTATTTGTCTTTTGGCTGTTGAGGCATGTAAGTTCTTTATATATTTTGGCTGTTAACCCCTTGTCAGATATGTCATTTATCAAAATATTCTTCCATACTGTAGGATGCCTGTTTGTTCTGCTGATGGTGTCCTTTGTTGTATAGAACCTTTTTAGTTTGATGTAGTCCCACTTGTTCATTTTTGCTTCTGTTTCCCTTGCTCGAGGTGATGCATTCAGAAAAAAGTTGCTCATGTTTATATTCAAGAGATTTTTGCCCATGTTTTCTTCTAAGAGTTTTAT